CCACCATGCCTGGCTAATTTTTTTTATTTATTGTAGAGACGAGGTCTCACCAAGTTGCCCAGGCTGGTCTCAAACCCGTGGACTCAGGCAGTCCTCTCACCTTGGCCTCCCAGAGTGCTGGGATTATATAGCCTTTTTTTTTTTATTTTTTTTTGAGTCAGGGTCTCACTTGTTGTCCAGGCTGGAGTGCAGTGGCACAATCACTACTCACTTCAGTCTCAACTTCCTGGGCTCAGGCTCAGGTGATACTTCCACCTTGGCCTCCCAAGTAGCTGGGACTATAGGCATGTGCCACCACGCCCAGCTAATTCTTTGAGTTTTTGGTAGAGATGAGATCTCACTATGTTGCCCAGGCTGGTCTTGAACTCTTGGGCTCAAACATTACTCCCTCCTTGGTCTCCCAAAGTGCTGGGATTACAGATGTGAGCCACCACACCCAGCCTTAGCCATTTTTGACACATTTTTTTCCTTTGATATGTTCATATCTCCTGTGTAGTTTCACTAGTCAGTAAATTTTTCCTATGGGCCTAGAACACTCTCCAACCCTACCCCTTTCCCCAATTTTGGTAGTTAGCCCTAAGGACAACCTTGATTTGTCTCTGAATTATAAAGGAAACATATTTAGTCCCTACCCTAGTGAATCACCTACAATGTGAAACACACACAGTCATGTAATGCATAACAACATTTGGTCACTGACAGACCACATATACAACAGTGGTCCTATAAGATCTTAATGGATCTGAAAAATTCTTATCACCTAGTATTTATTATACTATACTTTTTTATAGTTAGAGTATACTCCTACTTATTAAAAAAAAGTTAACTGTAAAACAGCCTCAGGTGGTCCTTCAGGAGGTATTTGAAGAAGGCTTTGTTACTAGGAGATGACAGCTTCTTGTGTGGTATTGTCCCTGAAGACCTTCCAGTGGGACAAGATGTGGAAGTGGGAGACAGTGATATTGATGATCTTGACATTGTGTACACCTAATGTGTGTATTTGTGTCTTTGTTTTCTTTGAAAAAGTATAAAAAGTTTTTTAAAAAGTTAAAACTTTAAAAATAGAAAAAAATCTTATAGAATAAGGCTATAAAGAAAAACATGTTTTGAATAGCTATGCAATGTGTTTGTGTTTTAAGTATTACTACAAAAGCGTCAAAAAAAATTAAAAAGTTTATGAAGTAAAAAGTTATAGTAGCCGGGCTTGGTGGCTCAGCCTGTAATCCTGTGCCTTTGGGAGGCTGAGGTGGGTGGATTGCCTGAGCCCGCGGGTTCGAGACCCACATGGGCAACTTGGCAAGACCTCACCTCTAAAATAAATCAAAAAATCAGCCGGGCATGGTAGCATGCGCCTGTAATTCCGGCTACTCGGAAGGCTGAGGCGGAAGGATCGCCGGAGCCCAGCAGGTCGAGGCTGCGGTGGCCGGGAGCGGCCACTGCACTCCAGTCTGGGCGACAGAGTGAGACTCCAACTCAAAAAAAAAAGTTATAATAATCTAAGGCTAATTTATTATTGAAGAAAAGTGTTTTATAAATTGAGTGTGGCCTAAGCGTACAGTGTTTATAAGGTCTATAGTAGTGCACAGTAATGTTCTAGGCCTTCACATTCACTCACCACTCACTGATTCACCCAGAGCAACTCCCAGTTCTGCAAGTTCCATTTATGGTAAGATCTCTATACAGGTGTACTGGTTTTTATCTTTTATACTGTATTTTTACTATACCTTATCTATGTTTAGATACACATATACTTACCATTATGTTACAGATGCCTACAGTATTCAGCACAGTCACATGCTGTATAGGTTTGTAGCCTAGGAGCAATGAAATATACTGTATAGCTTAGATATATAGTAGGCTATACCATCTGGGTTGGTGTAAGTACATTCTATGATGCTTGCACAGTGATGAAATTGCCTAACAATCCATTTCTCAGAATTATCCCTGTAGTTAAGTGACACATGATTATAACTGATTATATTTGAATGAGAAATGGGAAGTCCTACAAAATAGTTATATTGACAAAATCATATTTAAGGATATAGTGGAGTTTTTTAAAAACTGGCTTTATATATGTAAACATAGGTCAAATTTGAATACTTCTGTAGGGTTAAGTATTCTTAATATTCAACATGTGATACTTTTTCAAAGTGTTGAATTGTGGGGAACCTTTATATGTTAGGCCTCTTTTAGTAAGAAATATTTTCTAGTGGATTTTTTTCATATCATCTCCACTCTGATGAAATAATAGCTAGCTTTTATTGAGTGCTAGCTACATTATCTCAATCTTCACAACCCTGTGAGAACACACAGGTACTGTTTTCATCTCATTACACAAATGGGGAACCACCTGAAGGTTAAAAACATGCCTAGCCGGGCTCGGTGACTCAGCCTGTAATCCCGTGCCTTTGGGAGGCTGAGGTGAGTGGATTGCCTGAGCCTGCAGGTTCGAGACCTGCCTGGGCAGCGAGACTTCATCTCTACAATAAATCAAAAAATCAGCTGGGCGTGGTAGCACATCCCTGTAATTCCAGCTCCTTGGAAGGCTGAGGCGGAAGGATCGCAGGAGCCCAGCAGGTCGAGGCTGCAGTGGCTGGGAGTGGCCACTGTACTCCAGTCTGGGCGACAGAGTGAGACTCCAACTCAAAAAAAAAAAAAAAATGCCTAAATTCATACAGCATAATTGGCATTTGATTCTAGGACTAAAGTTCTTAACCACTGTCATGTTTCCTCCTCTTGTTACTATTGAGGTACATGGTAAAAGATGGCAGCTTCCCACAGCCAGGTGCCCTTTTTCCATTTACACAAAGGCTCTGAGATATTGTCTTAATGTGGGAAATGGGTTTGTGGCTATTCCCCAACTGGGCAAAGTTTCAGGATTTTTGTTGCTATGAACTAATGTGACTTTTACCGGTGGAGGTAATCCAAACATAACTGCTGTACTGTGAGGAATCATTTGGGTCTCCAGGTATTATATGAACATACTTTTCCCTTGTAGGTCAGACACATTCTTTGTGAAAAACACAGCAAAATCATGGAAGCCATGGAAAAGTTAAAGTCTGGAATGAGATTCAATGAAGTGGCTGCACAATATAGTGAAGATAAAGCCAGGCAAGGGGTATGTTACTCTTATTATTTAAAATTTTCTGTCTTCCACAGAGGAAACACAGGAGTAGGAATCATGCCTATGTTCAGCCATTAATTTCAGCCATATCTTGGTTTAAAGATCTTAAAAGCAGAAATATCCAACTTGTGAATAGTAGAATAAGGGTTACCTATGTCTAACTCTCCAAATTTGCACAGCTAGCTTTAGAGTTCAGCACTATCATGAGTGCTTGTGTGTTCAGTCTAGGGTTAGACTTCTTCTACCTATTTGTCTTTCTTGAGCATATTCCTGTGTAGCCTAGATGAATAACTCTAGTAATCTTAGCATTCATGCTGGAAAATTCTCTCAAGCTATAGTAGAACTGTTCACTTTTCAGGGCTATTTGATATCACGTATCTTTTGGTTTTTCAGGGCGACTTGGGTTGGATGACCAGAGGGTCCATGGTGGGACCATTTCAAGAAGCAGCATTTGCCTTGCCTGTAAGTGGGATGGATAAACCTGTGTTTACAGACCCACCGGTTAAGACAAAATTTGGATATCATATCATTATGGTTGAAGGAAGAAAATAAAATCATATGAAAGACTGAATAAGCTTTATATGTTTTGTTTGTTTCTTTTTTTTTTTTTTTGAGTTGGAGTCTCACTCTGTCACCAGGCTAGAGTGCAGTGGCATGCTCACGGCCACTGCAGTCTCAACCTGCTGGGCTTAGACGATCCTTCTGCCTCAGCCTTCCAAGTACCTAGAACGACAGACACACACCACCATGCCTGGCTAGTTTTTGTGTCTTATAGAGACGAGAGGTCTCACCAAGTTGCCCAAGCTGGTCTTGAACACCCCGGGCTCCCAAAGTGCTGTGATTACAGGCTGAGCTACTGTACCCGGCCTCTTTCTTTTTTTTTTTTTTTTTTTGAGTAGGAGTCTCACTCTGTTGCCCAGGCTGGAGTACAGTGGCATGCTCACGGTCACCACAGCTTCAACCTGCTGGGCTCAGGCGATTCCTCCACCTCAGCCTTCCAAGTAGCTGGAACTATGGGCATGGACTACCATGCCCAGCTAATTTTTTGATTTATTGTAGAGATGAGGTCTCTTTTTTTTTGAGTCGGAGTCTCATTCTGTCACCCAGGCTGGAGTACAATGGCACGCTCACGACCACTGCAGCCTTGACCTGCTGGGCTAAGATGATCCTTCCACTTCAGCCTTCCAAGTAGCTGAAACTACAGGTCTGCACCACCACGTCCAGCTAATTTTTGGAATTACTGTAGAGGCAAGGTCTTGGCATGTTGCCCAGGCTGGTCTCAAACCCATGGGCTCAGGCAATCCTCTTGCCTCCACCTCTCAAAGTGTTGGGATTACAGGCTTGAGCCACCGTGCCTGGCTATTTTGTTTCTTTAGGAGGTATTGGATAGCCAGGCATGTTGGCTGAAGCCTGTAATCCCAGCCCTTTGGGAAGCTGAGGCAAGAGGATTGCTTGAGTCCAGGGGTTCAAGACCATCCTGGGCAACTTGACGAGGCCTCATCTCTACAATAAATTTTAAAAAAAAATTAACCAGGCATCATGGTGCATGCCTGTAGTTCTAGCTACTTGGAAAGCTGAGGTGGAAGAATCACCTGAGCCCAGCAGGTCAAGGCTGTGGTGGTCGAGAGCATGCCCTGCACTCCACCCTGGGTGACAGAGTGAGACTCCAACCCCAAAAAATAAATAAATAAATAAAATACAAGGTATTGGATAATCCTTGTATTATGTGAACTGTATCAGTGTGAATTTGTAGATGCAAAACAGGGTGGGTATAAATTAGTGTATACTGCAGTAAGTGTTCAGTCAGTAGTTCCCAAAGATTAATCAAGTAGACTCCATTTAGTTATTTATTTATTATTTTTAGAGGTAGAGTCTCACTTGCTCTGTCGCCCACGTTGAAGGACAGTGGCACAATCATAGCTCACTACAGCCTCGAACTCCTGGTTAAGGCATCTTCCTGCCTCGGCTTCCCAAGTAGCTGAGACTACAGGCACACATCATCACACCCAGCTAAAATTTTTCTTTGTAGAGATGAGGTCTCGCTATGATGCCCAGGCTGGTCTCAAACTCCTGAGCTCAAGCAACCCCCTCTCCTGAGCCTTCCAAAATGCTGGGATTACAAGCATGAGCCACTGTGCCTGGCCTTAGACTCCTTTTCATCTGTACTCCCCTTCTTCCCAGAACATACTCTCAGTATGTTCCATAAATTAGTTCAGAAACAATCTTTGGGGAACCAAATATCTATTCACACTATTCACACAACTGAAAATATTGGGCATCAAATAGATGGATTAATGTATGAGAATCATAAAATAAGTTCCTGGACACTTGTTTTATAATTTAGTCAACTCTGATTTGTCAGGGCAGTTATTATTGGCTCCATTATCTTTTTTTTTTTGAGTTGGAGTCTCACTCTGTCACCCAGGCTGGAGTTCAGTGGCATGCTCACAGCCACCGCAGCCTCCACCTGCTGGGCTTAGGCAATCCTTTCACCTCAGCCTTCCAAGTAGCTGGAACCATAGGCATGCCCCACTATGCTCAGCTAAGCTCCATTATCTTAACATAGTACATGGCACATGATAGCCATTCAGTGTTAACTCCTTTGTTTGTTTTGAGTCAGAGTCTCACTCTGTCGCCTAGGCTGGAGTACAGTGGCACACTCACTGCCACCTGCTGGGCTCCTCAGGTGATCTGCCTTAGCCTTCTTTTTTTTTTTTGAGTTGGAGTCTCACTCTGTCGCCCAGACTGATGCGGCCGCTGCAGCCTCGACCTGCTGGGCTCCGGCGATCCTTCGGCCTCAGCCTTCTGAGTAGCTGG